ATCAAAAGCTGAGTTTTAATCTCCCCACAAACCTTGTATCTGTGTGTTTCTTGGTAAGTGGCTCCTCCATTTTTGTGGTTGGCTCAGGCCACAAGCCTTGGAGCTATCTCTATTAGTTCTCTGGGGCATCTTTAACAAAGTACACATACTAGGTAGTGTAAAATAAAAGAATTTATTCCCTTACAATTCTGGAGGCTAGACATCTGAAATCAAGGTGGCAGCAGGGCTCTGCCCCCTCTGAAGGCTCTAAGCAAGAATCCTTCCCTGCCTCTTCCAGCCTCTGGTGACTACTGGCAATCTGCCACAGTCCTTGGCCTCTAGCTGCATCATCACTCCAATTTCCGCCTCTATCTTCACATGGCTGTCTTCCTCCATGTGTCTCTATGCCCAGATCTCCCTCCTCTTATAAGAATAGCCATCATTGGATTTAGGGCCCACCCTAATCCAGTGTGACCTACAAGGCCCCTATCATAACCATGTAAGATCAAATTCACAGATTCTGAGTAGACGTGAGACTTTGGGGGACACTATCCAACCCAGTGCACCATCCTTGACTCTTCTCTTTCTCCCACACCACTCATTCAAACCATTGTGAAATCATGTCTACCCTACTTACCAAATATATCCTGAGTCTAAATGTTTCCCCCACCATCACAGCTACCACTTTGGTCTAAACCATCACCTCTTGCAGTAATTACTGTGATAGCCTCCTAACTGGTCTCCCTGTTTGCACACTTGCTCTACCTTCCACTCTTCTGTGCCGTTGTCCCCTCTAGCTTAGAGTATTACAGTTCTCCAACCATTCACCTAGTTCCTAGTATGCCATCTGTTCTCACACAATAACTTTTCATAGTATTAAAATTCTTGTCACTTTAGTATTCAAAATTTTCCAGTGGCATCCCACACTTAAAATACAATGCAATAATTCTTACAGTTTTTGTTTATAATCTATCCAAAATCTGGCTTGAAGTAAAATACAATCAGGTCAGCATTTCTGTTATATAAATATATGCATGGTATAAATACATTTCCTGATAATTGAACACATATCTCAAGGCATATTTTACCATGACTTTTTCAAAAGGATTGTGCCAGTTTACTTTGATGAATGTAAATAGTTACATTTAAGCAATAATTTAACTCCTGAGATGAAACTGACACCTCAAATTATTAGTACAAAAATTCATTTTTAAAGGGAGAAAGAATGTTAAAAGTATCTTATTTTCACCCACAAAGATACATTGGAACTATCTCATATGGCACAAAATTTCAAATTTAAATGAAAAAAGAAAGTGTCTTTTCTTTAGGACTACCACAGGATTTGTATGGAGGTATTTAAACTCTTGATCTTTTTGCCTTGCCCAAGAAAGAAATGAGTGATTTAACAAAGTGTAAGGACATTGCATGATTTTAATTATGCTTTTCGATCAAAAAGTTTACAATAAGTAATTTATCTTACACAAATGAAATAAGACTACATTAGTGTTTTATTTTTGCTATAACAGATTACTATAAGTTTAGTAACCTAAGACAACACAAATGTGTTAACTTACAACTCTGGAAGTCAGAAGTCTGAAATCAGTATTATGGGGCTAAAATCAAGGTGTTCACCGGGCTCTGCTCCTTCCGAAGGCTTCGGGGGAGCATTCCTGTTCTTGTCTTTCTGGGCTTCTGCAGGCTGCCCTGTCACTGACCTCTGATTCCTTGTCACGTCTCCTCTGACTATCCTGCTTCCTTCATTCCTGTAGAAGGACCCTTGTGATTATATTTGGCCAACCTGGATAATCCAAAATAATCTCCCATCTCAAAATCATCAATTTAATCACAACTGCAAAGCCCCTTTGTCATGAGAAGGAACATATTCACAGGGTCTGAGAGTGAGGATACATTACAGACATCTTTGAGAGGGTCTGTGTCTGCCTACTACAAAGACTATCATTAATTTTGATACACACTGTACCTCTTCCAACCTGTATCTCAGCTAATTAATATTCTATCAGTTGGAGGCTTGCATTTTCTTAATTAGGTAAATTATTAACATTGAGGTTTATCACTGTATTGCTATCGTGAAGAAGCTGGAATTGTTTATAGAATTTGAGGGGCAAAATCTCCTAAATGAGTAATAAATAATTAAATTAAGCCCTTATTAAGATTAAAGGGGCAATTTGACCTCACAAGGAAAGTCGATTTAACTCTGCATTCTGAGTTGCCATTACCACTAAGTTAATTAGCTAAATACTTCCGAGAATTTCCCCAATTTGTCTGTGTATTGGAGGACATAATATATAGTATAGTCAATTGTTACTGAATTTGGATATTTCCTCTATTTGCTGAACACTTAATTTGGAGTCACTGTTTCCTAGACAAACACTACCAGACATGTCTGCCTTATTCTTCAAATCTCAAAAGTAATTGAATTTGTAAAGAAAAGAATGTATGGCTTCTTTAAATCAGCTGCCATTATCAGGAATTTCAACCAAGAAGAAAAGAAAACAATTTTCTCTACCCTTTTCCCTTCATTTCTGTGGCAGTATCATAAGTTTTGAAATGTAAATAAAGAACTCAAAATTGCAGAATTTTTCTTGCCCTCAGAAGGCATATGGACAAACCTAATGTCATTTCACAAACATTTCACATAGCAGTAGATTCTGAATCTGGTAGGATCAGATCTAATCTGCAACTGTTCCTGCTGGTTGATTTTTAAAGCGTTATACAGAAGAATTCTGGCATCATTTCAGAAATGAGAATCCTTTTGCTATTCCCTTTGTGCCCTAGAAAGAGAATGAAAGCCAGCAGGTTTGAAGGGAGGTGCTTCAAAGTTAGAAAGTTTACCTCCCTCTTTGGGTTGTTAGCATGCTTCAAAAACTACGAAGTGTTTAGAGTAAGAACTCCATGTTTAAGCATTACTTCATACTAAACACTGACATTAATTGTACATTCTAGAATAAGATTCAGAAGAAAGTGACCAGTGGGGGTGAAGGGAGACCAAACCAAATCAGGTCGTTCTTTTTCCTCTAGTGATTAGGTTGATGGAGGTTGGGATCTGAAAATAAGAGCAGAGTCTATATTTCAGTTTCTTGCCTTTTGTAGTTCTAATGATGGATTGGTAGGCAAACAAAGAGAGATATGAGTGGTCCAGTTCTCAAATGATTCCAAAAAGCTATTTTGAAGTAATACTCTCACAGTATAAGTTTTGTCCTGTCAGCAACATAGGCTAAGAACTACTGTATTCTATCGATCTAAGGTACACATTTTTTCACATTTTAAGTTTCCTAAAATCAGGATTTGTTTTACAGTTTGTGGCATCTTACAATTACTTGGCAGCAGTTTTCTTTCCTAGTAGTACCTGAGCTAATGCAGCCTCATATAATTTTGAAGGCATGTTACACTTGATCAGATACAGTATTTATTATGGTGCTTTATTGAAGTGCTTTCTCGGTACCAATGTGCTTGGTGATTTCTGTCTTCAGAAAAAAGGTTTGCATAGACCTTACTTCTCAGCTAAATATTCCACATATAAAGAAGTTTTAGGACTCCCATGTACCAAACAACAGTCTGGGTTTGGGGAATTGGGGATCTAAGGGTGGAGAAGAAGACATTTCCATCTGTAAGTATTCTCCTAAGTAACCGAGTGGTTCTCACTCTGTGTGAGTGACTACCAGCCGACACTCACACGATGAATCACACTGGCAAACCAAAAGCAGCAGCTTAACCTTAGAAATGACCTGATATGGGATTACAGACAACTTTTTTATACTTTCCTGTTTCACTGAATTTTCTTTAATGAGTAGATATCGATATTATTCTTTTTTGTTTAAATTCTAAGTGCTAATTAATAAAATAGAACAATCCTTGGGTCAAAAGCATAATAGTAGCATTCTTTCAATGATATTTATTATCAAATTGTATACTTTATATATTTGCAGCTTATGTTATGTCATGTATACCTCAATAAAGCTGCTTTGTTGTTGCTGCTTCTTTAGAGTCAGAGTTGAAAAGAGAAGACATGTTCAACCTCACTAGTCATTAGGGAAATACAAATCAAAACCAGAATGAGAAGCCACTTCACATTCACCAGGATGGCCAAAGTAAAATATTTTAAATTAAAAGAGAGAAAGTACATTTTGGTGAGGATGTAGAGAAATTGGAACCCTCATACATCACTAGTAGGAATGCAAAATGATTCAGCCACTATGGAAAACAGTTTGGGAGTTCCTCAAAAAGTTTAACATAGGATTACCATGTGAACCTGCAATTCTACTCTTAGGTGTATCCCAAAAGGATTGAAAACAAGGACTCAAACAAGTACATGTGCATGTGTTTACGGCAGCTCCATTCACAATAGGCAAAGAGGGAAAACAGCCCAAATGTGCATGAACAGATAAATGGATAAACGAACTGCTGTGTATACATATAGTGGAATATTATTCAGCTAGAAAAGGAATGCAGTACTGATGCATGCTATGACATGGATGAATCTCTAAAACATGCAAAGTGAAAGAAGCCAGACACAAAAGGTCACATATTTTTTAATTCCACTGCCATGGAATATTCAGAATAGATGAATTCATCAAGACAGGACGCTGATTGGTGGTGCCAGGGACTGCAGGGAAGGAGGATTGGGGAGACACTGCTTAATGCCAAGGAGTTTTACTCTGGAATGATGGAAATATCTTGCAACTAAAAAGAGTTGGTGGTTGTACAACGTGGTGAAATGTACTGAATGCCACTGAACTGTCCACTTTAAAGTGGCTAATTTTGTATTATGTGAATTTCACCTCAATAAACAAAACAAAAAGTCCATAACACAAATGAGAAGTAATTGTGAACTATATTACCAGAACTTAACAATCACATTCATATAAATGCTTTTCATTATAGTAGCTGGTAGAAATTATGACTGGTGATTAGTTTCTGAATGATGAGGAATATATCTCACATTCAACTTAGATTTTGAAAGTCAAAATAAGAAAATTAATTGATATTTCTTTTTTTTTTAGGACTCTCAGCTCATTTCCTCCGGACACAATAATCCAAGTAAGAAAGGCTTTTCTCTGCAGTGTAATGAGTGGGCGGTGGAGGCAGCAGGGGCAAGTAGGGGAGATACATGCAATGAACATTAGGTATAAAAGAATTTTCACTAAAAACAAAATCAGGTGAGGGAAAGAGGGCCATTTGTTCAAGTACTTACCACATGTGTAAGGTTCATGGTGACTTTGAGGGCTCCTCTGTATTTTTCAAGGGAAGGAGGGACAAAACAAAATGGTGGGTTTCAAAGAAGTCATGGGCTGAAGGAACATCATTCATTATTATAGTCGGTTTCTGGTATATGCAGAGGGGAACAACTTTTTGGAGGCACTAAGGAGTTATATAAGTTGAAAGAAAAAGAGTGGTCAGACAGAACCAATCAGAAGACCTCAAGATTAATGACCTTAGAATTCATGAAGAAACTGTGCCCTCTCCCAGAGACAAAGTATCTAGGAAGGAATTTCCTTATTGAATCCAGTGTCTTATAAAACACACGAGCTTCAGTGTCAAAGAGAGGATGTTACCATTCCACAAGGTAGTGTTTTCATTCTCTTCTTTGGCACTACTAATTGCTACTAATGTTTTCTTGAGCATTAAAAACCCACAAGCTGCCTCCTTCATGTCATGAACTCCGTCCACAGAGACTGGGGTCTGTTAGTCTGTGACCAGTCAGTCAGCTGAGAGTACCTCTGGCCAATTACAAAGCCATGTTTGAACATGAAAATCACTCTGAGCTAGTAGATATGTCTTTGGAACTGAGGCTCACCCACTGAGCACCTGTGCGGGCAAGAAGGGTTGGGGAGAAAAGACGTTCAGACAGATGTGTCAGAGAGTCCCAGACTTCTCATGCTCATCTAGAGAAAGGTCAGGGCAGGGTATGATGGCATAATGATGCATAGGCAATATCACTTAATCATCTCACCCTCTGTTGGAATTTGCTGTGAGAACTGGTACCAGTGAAGAGGAGAAATGCCAAGGGACTTGAAATCTGAAGAAAATAATAAATTCAGCAGTGAGAAAAGGAATCAGAAGAAATGCATGGTTAAGTCCATGAGGTGTGCAGGCATCAGCATCATGTGCCAAAGACTAAAGCATACTGAAAAATTGTTCTTACTTGCCTCATCATTTCTTTCCATTTGAATTTAAACAGCTCAGCGTAGAGGGAGGATATAATAGGTGAATAAATATACCTTCTCTCAACTTGGGGTTTTTGACAAAGGAGCCCTCGCTGATGTGGCTCAGTTGGGTGGAGTGTTATCCCATAAACTGAAAGGTTGCAGGTTCAGTCCCTGGTCAGGGCACAGGCCTAGGCTGCTGGTTTGGTCCTCTATCAGGGCGTGTATAAGAGGTAACAGATTGATGTTTCTCTCTCACATTGGTGTTTCTCTCCCTCTCTCTCTCTCCTTCCCTTCCCTTCTTTCTAAAATCAATAAGCATGCCCTGGCTGATGTGGCTCAGTGGGTTGAGCACCAGCCTGCAAACCGAAAGGTTGCCAGTTGATTCCCAGTCAGGGCACATGCCTGGGCTGCTGGCCAGGTCCCCAAGTTGGAAGCATGCAAGAGGCAACTGGCTGATGTTTCTCTTCCTCTCTTTCTCCCTCCCTTCTTCTCGCTCTAAAATTAAATATATAACCCTTAAAAATTAAAGTAATAAGTATATCCTCAGGCGAGGATTTAAAAAGAAAAAAAAAACAAGGAAATAAGTGTTGTCTCTTCCATATGCTGCACCTTGACTTACCTTGACTTACATTACTTCACTTAATCCCAGCAATAGCTGTATGAGGGAGGCATTATCATCCCCATTTTGTGCATAATGAAAATGAGATTCTGAGGTTAATAACCATCCTAGTTCTTAGTGACTGAAAGTGACAGCTAGGATTTAAACACAGGGATGTCAGCCCCAAAGACAACAGACTTTCCATCCCATTACCTTGACCCCAAAAAGGTTGCTCTGTTAGTTCAGTATGAGGTTGACTTCTTGTGCAGTAACTATATGCTGTGATTTTTGCATGCACCTGGCATATTTTTGCAGCATGCCATAGCACTGACATGCTAAAACTGCATGTGGATTATGCAAAAGCAGACCCATGTCTGTGGAATGTGATGTGGCACCTGCTTAGTGTGATATGAAACCCTCTGGCACTTCATGGCTTAAGGAAGTCTGTGATTGGCTTTTTCTTTTCTGGCGATAGGGAAATTATTTGCTTTGTATTTTTTAAAATAAATTCTTCCCAAAGCCAAGCACATCTATATAAAGGTGATACCACTAAAAACCTGAGCATTCATACAGGTTACAGCACACTTGAAGCTTTAGAAGAGCTGGTCTCACCAGCATTTCCTGTGCCGTTTCCCATGCTATTTGATTTGGAATCCTTAAAGTTTTTGGAATTGTGACTCTAGTAAAAATGTAGAAAATAGAAAAAAAATAAACTTCAAAAAAACCAAACACAAAATGTATGTGTGGCTTGATGAACTAATCTTCACCATTTTAGGTCAGTGCTTTTTTTTTTCTTTTTTGAATTACAGATGTTACAGAGATGCTAAGAGAAAAGAGTATACAAAGTAAACAGAAATTTATCTTTAATTTGAATCTTTTAAAAGATAGAAACTTTAGTCAGTTTGCTGAATTGCTAGTTAATTTCATTTAACTTTAGAAAATAAAAGCTTATTACACATTGAGAAACAAACATTAAAACAGGTGACCTATGTCCACATTTTATTAAAGTTTGGAGCATATCCTGTTCAAGTCACAGACTGAGCATAAAGTGCTTTTCTGGTCCTTCAGAATTGCCATTTAAATAACCACAAAAGTACAGTGATGAAAATAAATTTCTAACAGCACTGAGGACAGAAAGGGATGCATCGACAAACCAGGAATTCAGTTGAGTTCTGGAAAGCAGAGAGTATGTAGGACCCTCCTATTAAATAATCCTGCATAGGGAAGGTCATGACCAGAAAAGGAAAACCATGGAACAAACGGGAACAAGCTCAAGCAGTGGTGGGAGACGGTCTTCAGGAGCTACGCCGAATAGGCATGGAGTGCGAACAGTGGGAGGCACCTGGCCCTTCCTTCTTCCATCCATGACCCTCTCTCCATCCTGGTTCTCATACAGAGCTTTCCATCTGGATTTCCACCCCCCTCCAAAAAAGCACCAAAATACCAAAAACACAGTAACATTAGCTAAGAAAATGAACAGTTGACTGGATAGAATTCCTAGTTGGGAGTTGATACCTAAAAGGGAAGCAGAATAGATTCAGAGATAATACTAGACCTTAAAAATTGTGTGATGGAAGAACAGTTAACTTTTTTCAAGCTGGGGATGAGCAAAAATGCCACATGTCCGGAGTAAAGTACTTCTAATTTGGGGAGGAGGCAGTTGATGAGATGATAAGGGCTCCAAGGTCTCGAGGTCTTTCTTCTCCTGAACCCTAAATGTTCAAACTCACATACCCTGTCCAAATACAAAGAGCTCTAAATCAGCTGTTCCCTACAAGGGATATGTGTATTAGGAAAATAGATCAATATGCTAATATAGGAAATCCACATCCATTACCTTTGTTAACCAACCTGTTATCATTCAGAAACATGAATGTGTAACCAATTAGCACCAAAATGAAGGACTGACTCCAGAGGAAATCTACTTAATTCTAGAAACACAAGAAAAAAATGTAAAGTATAACTACAGTCTTCAGAATCATTTGAAATTATTTGTATTAAAGAACAGAGTGGTGTGAAAAAAGAAGCAGTTACAGTATAAATGAGCACTTGCGAATTAAAAATATGGTTGACAAGAAATTATTAGAAATGATAAGTAATAGCTGAAGTCTAGAATCTGGAATATAAAGCTGATAACTTTTTTCTGAAAATATAGCAAAAGGCAGATGGAAGATATGAAAGGAAATTAAGATACATGGGAGATCAGTGAGGGTGAAAAGGTCAAAATCCAGCTAATAGGAATAACAGAAAAAGATTAAAAAATGGGGAATAAATAATTAATAAATAAAATAATTAATAAAAAATAAATAATAACAAAGAGAACTATAATTTCAAGAGAAATGAATAACTCATTATCAAAACACTATGTACAATGAAACAAGAAACCCTGAACAGGAAAGAGTGCCTACTTTAATTTCCAGAAATGAGAGGATTAAGAATGTAGTTGAGAACAAGAAGATTTGAAGAAATACTAATCAGAACCTCTAGAAACAATAAAATAATAACAAATTATAATTTCCTTGGTCAGGTTTAACAGCAGATTGGATATGGTTGAAAAAAATTAATGAATTGGGAAACTGAATTGAAGAAATTGTCTAGAATGCAGCCTAGAAACAGAAATGGAAAATACGAAATGGAAGTCAAGAAATATGGGGGATAAAGTGAGAAAGTCTAACATACATTTAAGTAGAATTTCAGAAAGAGATATGGAAACAGATGAAATATTAAAGAAGAGAATGGCTGAAAATTATTTTTAGAATTGAAATACACTAACCTACAGATTCTAGAAACCCAATAAATACTAAGTGGGATATATAAAAAGAAGTCCACACTAGACACATTATATATAGTTAATCTGCAAACCACATAAAGAAACAGTTCTTAAAATACCCTTTAATACCTTCAGAAAAGCGACAGTTAAACCTCTGGTTGACTTCTTTCTCAGCAGCAGCAGTAGGAGTCAGCAGACAGTGAAATTATAACTTCATTTTTGTGTGTGTGGAAATTGATGAGGTAATTCTGAAATTTATTTGTTAGACAAATGGCCAAAAATAGCTTAGATGCTCTTTAAGAAGAACAAGGTAGGAGCATTCATTACCTTGCCAATATTAAAAGTAAATAAATATTTTAAACTAAGTAATACAGACAGTAATAGACAAATTGAGCAATGAAAGAAAACGTAAGATCTAGAAACAGACCCACAAACATATGAAAATTAGATTCGTGACAGAGCTGATAGTGTAGATCAGTGAAGAAACAATGGGCTTCTCAACAGATAGTACCGGAATAATTGGTTTTCTATGAGTAAAAATGAAGTTACCCCACATCATATTTTAAAAAAACTATGCCAGGTATTTGTAAAAGATCTAAATGTGAACAGTTTAGGTATATACTTTCCAAAGACAATATAGAACATATATCTGGTGTATTTCTTAAATAAAAACACTAAAAGGTATCAAGTACAGAAAAATATTGCTAAACTCAAATAAATTAAAATTGAGAATTTACAATCATCCACAGATACCAGAAAAAGACTCACACCAGGAAAAGTTACTTAAGGAACTGTGTGTGTGTGTGTGTGTCTGAGAGAGAGTGAGTGACAGATAATGTAGCAAGACAATGAAGTGTTTATATGAGTTAAAAGATTACAAAAATGTGTGTGTTTTTTTTTAAGAAATGAGAAGGAATGTCACTAAAGAGCAAGCACAGAATATCTACTTCATTGGTACTCATATGCAAACATTACATTGAAACATCTCCAGAAACATCTCCTGAGCAACCAACTAAAAAAAAATCTCTTATGGAGAACTTTCTAGCCTCCATGAATAATTTTCCCACAGGTCTTGATAAAGAAACTGTGACTCTTAATGACATAGGCACTTGAACATTTCAAGTGAACTTCAGAAATTGCATCACCTAAAATTGCAAGATGTTGGGGGAAAATTTGTGTTTCATTCTTTCTGAAGGACAGAAACAGTTTGTATCCCTTTCTCCACCCTGCACTTACTTTTCCCCAGAAAGGTCCATTTGTTGTCAGCACTGAAGGTGCTGAGGGCACTCACTCTCAGGTTGTTCGTAAATGTCTTGTTTGGCCCTGCAGTATCCTTCCTGTTTGCCAGACCTACTCTGTTTTCCCTGTTGCCACAACATAAGTGCTGCTAAGAGCAGAGATAATCAGCCTCAGCTTGGTCCCTACACTGGGCCAGCGCACGGCTCCCGCAGCCCAGGTCCCATGTGCAATAAGGCCTGTGTCCTCTCAACCTGCAGGTTCTTTGGCAGCATTGTTGGTCAAGGTAAAACATGTTTGTTCAAACATCCAAACAGTGTCTTTGTTTATAGTCTCAGTTTCCTGTTTTCTTGTCATAAGTTGTTTGGAAATGTTTACTATGGCTGGCTGCTGTGAGCTTGGCTGTTTTGCACTCTACTGTGATTGTATGTGGTGTGACTACTGGCAGTGACAGACTGAGGAAAGCAATCAATTTCTCCAAATTAAAGGTGGGGGGAGATCAATATGTGACTCAAATCTCCATTAGTGTTGTTATATAATGCAGGTGTTGTAACTCTATTTAAGGATTCTGGCAGGAATTGTAGCCACTCAGTGGAAAAATGATTCTGGAAAGGACTAAATTAGGTTATTTTCCAGCTCTAAAGCCAGTTGATGAGGCCTTGCATGTCTCCTAAGTGAGCACACCACAGATCTGGCCTGGGAGACAGAACGTAAATGTATGAGCTTTAAAGCTGGTTTATTAATTTGCTGCCTTTACTTGTACTTCAGCATGGTTTCATAGGAATTGGAGCTCTGTCTAATCAGTGTTTGTTATTGAAGCAGTTACACAGATGTTGTGGCTCTTTCATGAGTGGCTGTGTGGACACCCATTAATGCTGAGTTATATCTAAGATAGACATGTGAACTATATATAACGGTCTTTTTTTTTTTCACAACCATTTAATTTCCCAAAAGAAAAAAAGAAGATGCTGTTAAGTTTCCTTTGGGGTTCAGTTTGGAAAATACTTCAGAATGTGATCCTCATGCTCTTTAGGGAGATGGTCCTGAGACAAGGTGCTGCCTGACAGGAGGGGCTTGGTACACTGCACAGGTCTGGGCCCTAAAGAGGATGTCGGCGGATTCTGTGAGATCTCCAGGCCTGACTCAAAAGAGCAAAGCAAAACAGGTTGCCACCATTGGGCCCATTTCTTACAGTCCACAGCCTTCTCCGGAGTTTATTAAACTATTAGCTTGGCACAACCATCATAACCACAGCCAACTCACTCTGGCAACCATGACCCTACTCCTTCTGTCTCCTGCCTCAAGGAAATAAAAGCAGCAACTTACCTCATGAGGATGCATGGTTCAAACCATCCATGTTGAGGATCTAAGAATTAATTCTGTCCTTGCAAGAAGCATTTGCCTTTTAAAACTACAAAAAGTGACTCATTCCAGCCTCCCTCAGTTAAATCCTACTAAATCCTTAATGCCCACCAGTGAAACAGTTCTTCACTAACTTGTCAGATAGATGAGATTTCTGGTTTACATCTTCTTAGGCATTAACTTGGGGGGGCGGGGACAAAACCTGTGCCAGGGCTCTTGATGGGGTACATTTCTTGGGGATCCTGTAACCTCAGTAAAATGCTCTTCAAGTTCTGATGCAGCCAGATCTGGTTTGGCTTACATTAGCAAAAGGGATCGAAGTTCAGAATGCCTTGATGTAGAAGCTAATGGAGTTTATTTCCTTAAATTTTCTGTAAAAGAAGTGGAAGGAAACAGGTTCCATCTGTAAGATACTCATCTTCTGGCAAGGTCTCCACTCTGAGCTTCGAGTTGTTCATAAACAGCTCCTTAGAACCTACTCACAGATACATAACTGGGCAATGGTATTACAGAAATTATGTTGCAGATCTGGTTCACAGACAATAAAAAGATGTTTTAAAAGCCTTCTTCTGCACATTTTGAAAAATTGTTAATAGGAGCTTGGGAGCATATTTAATCTCTCTTAAATCTTAAAGACTATAACACTCACATGTGTTTTTTTCCTACTTCCTTTTTAAGAGAAAGGTGATGCTGAGCCAGAGAGTCCAGACAATGGCACCTCAAATACATCGTAAGTGTCTTTCCTCTTTCTGTTTGTCGTAGAGGTTCTTTAATATGCCTGTAACGTGAAACAGGGCAAGTATCTTATAGTAGTTATAATAATAATGGAAGGAAGGCTGTGGCTCTCCTTCTCATGGTAATGTCTTTTTAAATGCTTCAGAGTGCACATGCATTTGGAGGTCTTTCTTATGCTTTATTACAGTAAGAATAATCTTGAAAACAAAAATGCTTCTCTTCATAAAGTACAAATATAATAAGATGTGAGGGTACATATTGGTGGGGAGAAGAGAAGGAACTTTGGAGACTTTCATCATAAATGTTATAAATAATGTAAAACTTCCCACACGTAATGGGAGATACTCTGTCCTACATACCTGTGAAGTACCAGTGTCGTTTGAGAAGCCTGCCATCTGCAATCTCACCTTGGAACTATGTGAAAGGTATAGTTATAGATAGCTGTGGAATCTCATGAGTTTGCTGTTTTTGAATTAACAAAAGCAGTTTTTAAAAGATTTCTTAAAGGCACTTATAAAACACATGTTCCTCACTCTACGTTTTGCCTTTTTCCTCTCAGTACTCAAGGAATCCTTATGCATTTTAATGATTAATTTCATACAAAATTGATATACCAGTTTACCACTGAACCACACATGCCCTGACTTATAGACCAAAGTTTAAATGAAATAATTCATGAGCTAACAAATTATTTTAGGAATCACTAAAAGGTTTGCCCTTTGAAAAATTTTATTATAACTCTGAGGGGTGACATATGGTTCCTTATTCTATCACAGGTTTGTGAATTCATCTTTATGTGGATCAGCACTCTTATTACTAAACATGTAAAATGCTACTCACTAGCAATCAGAGTTTGTGACATAATATTATTGAGTGTCCTAGTTTTTCTAAGACATGTTTCTCTGTCTAGAAAAATCCTTTGGACTGCATAGGATGGCTGTATATTTCATAAAGTATATGATTTTATGTGTGTCTTCCTTAAGATGTTACTCTAAAAGTTCTAAACAGTTTCATCATTATGATTTCTGATGATATAATAAATGTGACTAGTTTAAATGGTGAAAATATCACTAATTTTTACATTTTTATACTGCAAAATATAATGGGGAAAGGGTTTTAATGCCATCTGGAGGCATTCTAGAGAACTGAAAAAGGTAGAATCATTTAAAAATTTGGTTCTTTTGAATAACATTTGAGACTGGGTAAGAATTTATACAACTAGAATGTAAGCTATTTGAGAGTAAGTTATATATTTTTATAAATAATATTATAAAAGTGCTAATTATTGTAAACATAACAATGTTTAATTCTCACTAACAAAATCATTTTAAAAACAGACAAAGGTACATACATACAAAATATAATGGGAAACTGCCAACTTCCGACATTTAATTTTACAAATTTTAAAATCTCATTCAGTAGACACCACTTTTGGTAATGCAGTTTAATGTACTGTTTAAGTTCGTCTTCCACTATGCATTTCTAAAAAAAAGTCTGTTCTCTAAGAGAATTGGTTTCCATAAATCAGTACCTTATGAAAATAAATATGTTGTCTAAGAAATTGTTTTAAACATTCCAGAGATTTGAGAGCCGTGAAAACTTTGAGCATTGCCCCTACATTCCTACCTCTTTACTTAGTCATCGACCTCACCTGTGTCTTAAACTAGAAATAGCAGAAATAAAACTGAGGTTGCATGGATATCTCTTAAAAGTAGAGAACTCTGAACCTGAGCCTCTCAAAGAGCTCTCTAACAGCAGTTCTGTACTAATTAGGCAGGAGGAGCAACATGTAATAAAAAGCAAAGGACTCAGAGTGCCTTAGATTTATAAGCATTTACATTCTTTGTGCAGTACCTTATTTGAGCTTTATTTTTTAGGTAGACAGGTATGGCAGGGACAAACTTGTAAAAGCCATTCAACTTAAGTTAAAAATAATTGGGGTATTTTGCTGTACTGTTTAAGTTCATCTTCCATTATGCATTTCTAAAAAAAAAAGTCTATTCTCTAAGAGAATTGGTTTCCATACACCAGTACCTTATGAAAATAAATATGTTGTCTAAGAAATTGTTTTAAACACTCCAGAGATTTGAGAACCATGAAAACTTTGAGCATTGCCCCCACATTCCTACCTCTTTACTTAGCCATCGACCTCACCTGTGTCCATTTTACCATACTGCCCATTTACCATACTGAGGAGTCATTGGATCTTAGGAAACAAAGCAAAGCCATGTGTCAGAATCAAGTAGAAAAATGAAGGTCAAATTATTTGTTAAATGGTAAGTGTATTAGTTTGCTAGGGCTACTATAACAGATACCACAGACTGGGTGCCTTAAGCAAAAAAAAAAAAAAAAAGTATAATCTCATAATTCTGGAAGCTGAACATCCAAGAGCAGTCAGTAGGGTTGGTTTCTTCTGTGAAGGAAGGATCTGTTCCAGGCCTGGTGACTTGTTCTGTAGATGGCCATCTATCTCCCTGTGTCTTTTCATATTACCTTCCCTCTAAGCATGTCTCTATGTCCAGATTTCCCCTTTTTATAGTAATACCAGTTATACTGGATTAGGGCCCACCCAAAAGGCCTTGTTTAATATGATTACCACTACACAGACCCTGTCTTGAAATGAAGTGACATTCTGAGAGGTTAGAACTTCAACATATAAATTGGGGTGGGGAGGGGGATTCAACTCATAACATTAAGGGTCAGAATAATCAGAATGATTCAGAAGCCAAGTAGGCAGAACCAGGAATGTACAGATGCCAGGAGGTAGAACAAGGGGAGAGAACCTAAGTTAAACATCAAAATGATAAGCTCCATGGGAGCTGAAGGAATGAAGCAGAGCAAAGAGAAAACCGTTGGTAACACACACACTGGTGCTAAGAAAGACATCATTTTCACATTCATGGTCTGGTGGCCCAGACTTGGCTTTAGTAATGCTGTACATCCCTCTGTCTGTATAAGTCCATGGCTCTCTGAGTCATTTAAAACTATCATATGAGTTTAAATTAAAGTATAAAGTTGGGAGTCTCCAGACAGAGAGCCAATTTCCTGGAAAAGACTCTTTCCTCACTGGAGATTAATTAAGCAACAGATTAGTCATGGTAAGTTTTAGACAATCACTGCCTGATAGCACAAAGTAATCTGAATAACACCTGAAGATCCCTTCAGGAGATATTATTCAATGATTTTATGAGTATTCATAAAGATGAAAAGTGTATTCTTAACACAAAAGAACCGATAAATTTAAATTTCTGTAGAGTACCAGTTATGTTAATGATGGGAGCCCTTATATTGGATTAACTTTCCTGCAGATAACTATTATAAACTCTGGACAAAATACTTTTTAAACTATCAGAAGGCAGAAAATGTTGGGAATTTGATCCTTGAAAGAAGAAAATTGGACCAGGTGAGATTTACATTCATATGGCTTACTCCCTGAGAAGACTGCCCAATCCACATAGAACAACGAGAACTCAAGAAGAAAACCATAATTACATTGGCATGAAGTATCAGAGGATGGAGTTCAGGGCTGTGAGAATAACAAGACAATGTCAAGAGAATGAGAAAGCTGGGAGAAAATGTTCTTGAAAGACATCTGATAACGAACTGATACTCAAAACAAAGAATTCTTAAACACTCAACAATAAGAAAACAACCCAATTAAAAAGTGGGCCAAAGACATTAACAGACTTCTCAAGAAGAAATACAGATGGCAAATAATCATATGAAAAGATGCTCTACATCATATGTCATCAGGGAAATGCCAATTAAAACAGTGAAAACCCGGAACACAGACAACACCAAATGCTGGTGAGGACGTGGAGCAACAGGAACTCTCATGCACTGCTGGTGGGAACGCAAAATGTTAGGGCACTTTGGAAAACAGTTTGTCAGTTTCTTACAAAACTAAACACACTCCTTGGTATATACCCAAAGTTGCTGAAAACTTATTCCACATAAAAATTTTACCTTGATTTAAAAAATAATAAGTAAAAATAAATTTATAAAAAGGATAAATATTTACCTGACAGCTTTTCTTCCCTATAACAGTAACAGTTACCATGTTTTGATCCCTTACATTGACCAGGTACTAGTCTTAACATTTGACATATTTTATCACCTCTAATTCTCACAGAAATCCGGTAATACCTTATTTTACAGGCAAAATAGGCTAATTAAGGTTCCTGCATTATATAACTTTAAGTGGCAAAGCCAAGATATGAACCCAGTATTCACACCCTGGAAGCCAAGCTCTTAACCATTGTCCCATTTTGCTGCTATCTCAGAGTTCTTAGGTAGTTTCTCCAGAGACAGTAATCATTCCGGAAAGAGCAGGTAATTAAAGTAATACCTGAAGAGGAAGAGTAGAACTGAGATCCTGTTAGAAAGTCATCTTCAGTAGAAAAGCTCTAGAAGTAATGAGCCAATGGAGATTTCCAAAATACTGTGAAGGCCACGGTTTGGCAGGTCACCATGCTTGCTTGATTCAGATTTTTTCACGGTCAATAAATTCACTCTCAAGTTAGAGGTCAACAGCATAGGCTTATAGAAATATCCTCAGGGAGGATCCTTCTATATTTGTAGATAAGCCTCAATTGAACAAAGTAACTATAACCTTCAAGAATAAATGGAAGATCTGAAATGAAATTAAACACACAACACTCAACTCCTAGGAGAAAAAAAGTAAAATAAGGCAGAAGAAAAATGGTTCATCAGAGGTATACATTGTACAGTAAAAGATTTGGAAATTATTATGAGCTTAAATGGAATTAGAGTGACCCATGAAATGTTTTTTCTCCAGTGCTAATACAGTAGTTGAAATTAATCAATAGAAAATGCCATTACATAGTAGGCACTCAATAAATAGTTATTATTGCTATCATAACTAAATTCATGATCTATAAAAGACAGAAAACAACCCTGCCTTGGCAGTTGGTGGTGACCAGAGTTTATTAGAACTTTAAATCTCTTCTTTTAAAAAAAAGTAGAAAACTTAGG